AAGACCTACAATAGGCAGTTTTAGCTCTTGCATAATGCATGTTTAAGTAATCGACCAGCTTTGTTAAAAATAAGAATTTTAGATTTATCAATATTTACTGAAAGACACCAGTCTTTGCAAAAGTCATCAAATTTATCAAGTTTAGATTGTAATCCACTTTTACTCGTAGATAAGATCACCACATCATCAGCATAAAGTAAGCAATGGGTAGTGCTGGGTCCAAGAGTTACTGGATCAGGGCAATTGGAGAAGTAATCTGGCAAATCATTAATAAATTTTTTAAAAAGGTTAGGGCTTAAATTATCGCCTTTGTCTAACTCCGAGGTCCAATGAGAAAGAATCTGTGAGCTTGCCCTGGATTTTGATAGCCGACTTACTTTTCTGATACATATTTTTAATCAAAAAGTAAAAATTTGAACCAACTCCAATTTCAAGAAGTTTTTTTATAAAGTCCAACATGAATTACCGTGTCAAATGCTTTTCTGAAGTCAATAAAATTAAAACACGCAAACAGTTTTCCCTCCTTTGATTGACAGTATTTGTCTGTCAAAGTTTTCAAAATGAACATATGATCTGAAGTTCGATGATTTTTAGAAAAGCCAATTTGGCACTCATGTATGATGTTGTTAGTACACAGAAATTTATTCAATCTGTTATATAGCACCGCATTAAAAAGTTTACCCAAATTACTGGTTATAGAAATTCCTCTATAGTTGGACGGATTATCCAGTTTACCACCCTTATGCAAGGGCATAATATAGCCATCAGCCCAACATGATGGATAGGTTGATTGCAAAAGACATATTAAATAATTTCTGGAAGCATTTCCCTAAAATAGGCTTGCTACTCTGCAACATTTCATTGCAGATCAGATCTAAACCGGTGGCCTTATTGTTTTTTAAGTCAGAAATGGCTTTATTAACTTCATCAAGAGAAATATTCATGTCGAGTTGGTTGAAACATTTCTGTTTCTCTAACTGAGAAAGTTCAAGACCAAGTATTTTGATACGACCATGAAATGAGCAATTGGAGGTATTTAAGACACAAAAGTGATCAAGCCATGTCTGTGGTTTTATTTGATTATCATTGTTGGTTTTTGTCCCATCCCTTAATTCTGAAAGTAACTTCCAATAAGATTTTGGGTTGTTGTTATGTAACCCCTCAATTTTCTTCAAAAGATCTATTTTAAACTGCTTTGCCTTTTTTCCCTAGATTTTGTGTATTCACGATATAATCTATAATATTTGTCATGAACAGCTCTATCATTCGGATATAAGGAGTAAATTCTACCATAATACATCAATTTATTTCTCATGGACCTCAGATCTTTGTCAAACCATTTTTTTTTATTTCGTTTGGACTATTGGCTTTTTAGGCTGCGTTTTTTTATGTCTAGTTAATACTTTTGAAGCCGAACCTTAAAAGTTTATGGTGTGTTATATTTATATACCTTTCCGAATTTCATAACAAAAATATTATTTTGCTCAATTTTCAGTTGCAATAAGCTTTTAATAAAACAGTAAGCCTAATACTGTTATGCAGTTATGCTATTCAAAATCACATTTCCCCTTTTACTGGTAGGCCTTAATCCGACCAATAAAATATTTACTGAAGCACTATCACTAATTTTAACCCATTCAGTAATTAAAAATAATTTTAATTTACTCTGTGATTATCTATATAGTATCAGTATGCTGTATGGTTAACTTCAGTTTGTATGGCAGATAATTCCATAAAAGTACACAGTATATTAAATTTTCTATTTCTAAATACTCAGTTGACAAAAAATCACAAAATATTACATGACACCCAGAGCAATATGCAAAATATTCATTCTCAAGTTGTTTTTGGTTTATACTTGGTTGTAAAAAGAGAAACCAATCAACTCAAATAATGTTTATTGAAAAAAGTTATAGGCCTATTTAAAATAGAATTTTAATATCTTTAATTATTATATTTTTTTAAAAATGAAATTCTACATTAATTAATAGAACAAAAATCATAAAAAGAACACGGTGAGTCAACGTTGGAGCCAAAGGTATTTTATCTTGGAAAACAACCAACGGCTCAAATCTGTTTATTGGAAAACGTTATATGCCTATTTGAAATTTAATTTTAATATTCTTAAATTATTATTTTATATTTTAATGAAAGCTTACTTTATGAAGATAACATAAATAAGAGAAGCACACAGTAATAATCTCTAGAAGACAAAGGAATTTTTCTTTGGGAGAAAAGTAAGTCATGTTGATGTTGAGTAAAATATGCCTTATCCAAAAAAGGGCGTGGTACTTTGACATTTTCAAATGGCCCATTTTAAGGTGTATGGAAATTACATTTCAAATCTAGGAATGGAAACAACAAGTATTTGGTGGAATAGTTTCAAAGTTAATAAAACCTCTTAAAAATCGACAATAATTTACGGCCTTAAATAGACCAATTTGTAAACCGTCACAAATGCCGTCTCTCGTCTCGGTCTCACTTCATTCCTGACCGTATAAATTCCCGAAACACACACACGACTAACATATTATGATTGTATGTGATAATTCCCAGTAGTTTTGTTACCGAAAATACTATAAAACTACGAAATTAAAGAGATTTAGTTCATCGATATAGATATTGTAACGTCGTTGAGCAAACTGTCAGTATTTTTGTAATTTTAGAATTACGTGTAGTTGTGATTTTTAAAAGATCAAACTTCTTTACCCATTAGGTCTGAACTAGCTGCACATGTTCTTTTTACTTTCTATAATAGTCCTACGTACCGCAAGTCTACTGAATAAAATGAATTTAGATTCATATTATTATTGCAGCTATATAGCAAGCGATAGGAACTGTCAGCGGACATAGTCCGATCAGAGACAGTTCCTAATCTAGAGCCAAGAGTATTTTATCTTGGAAAACAACCAACGGCTCCAATCTGTCTAAATTGGAAAACGTTATAGGCCTATTTGAAATTCAATTTTAATATTCTTAAATTTAAATTTTAAAGGCTCAATACCACTCTTGTTGTAACTGAATAATATGTCCCAATCTTTATTCTGGTCAACAATTTGTACTATTTTAGAATATTTCAATTAATTGATGATACAAATTTCATCTTAACACACCTCAACATAATGGTTTGAAACGTCTAACATAAAACCTTTTCAAATGAAACTTCGATTTAAAAATATTTTCGAACCCTCTGGACAAGTAAAATAGGATGTAATGGATAATTTACACAACAGGTAGGACACTTAAACATCTAGTACTTAGATAGAGATATTATTTATTTTCTGGAGCTTTCAAGCCAGCAAGAGTGTTATTGGCCCTTTAATGGAAGCTTACTTTATTAACATAACATAAATAAGAGAAGCAAACAGTAATAAGCTCCAAAAGAATTCTTGGGGGGGGGGGGGGGGAACAAATCATGTTGAGTAAAAAAGGCCTTATCCAAACGAGGGCGTGGCACTTTAACATTTTCAAATGGCCCATAAGGTGTATGGAAATTACTTTCAAATCTAGAAATCGAAACTACAAGTATTTGGTGGATTAGTTTTAATGTTAATAAAAAGCTTTAAAAATCGACAATAATTTACAGTCTAGACCAATTCGTAAACCGTCACAATTATTGCCGTCTTTCACTTCAGTCCGGGCCGTCCCACGCTGCGTTTATCCAAGTTATAAAAATATGAATCAAGTTTTATAAATTCCCGAAACACACACACAACTAACATATGATTGTATGTGATAATTCCCAGTAGTTTTGTTACCGAAAATACTATAAAACTACGAAATTAAAGAGATTTAGTTCATCGATATAGATATTGTAACGTCGTTGAGCAAACTGTCAGTATTTTTGTAATTTTAGAATTACGTGTAGTTGTGATTTTTAAAAGATCAAACTTCTTTACCCATTAGGTCTGAACTAGCGACACATGTTCTTTTTACTTTCTATAATAGTCCTACGTACCGCAAGTCTACTGAATAAAATAAATTTAGATTCATATTATTGCAGCTATATATAGCAAGCGATAGGAACTGTCAGCGGACATAGTCCGATCAGAGACAGCTTCTAATCTAGAGCCAAGAGTATTTTATCTTGGAAAACAACCAACGGCTCCAATCTGTCTAAATTGGAAAACGTTATAGGCCTATTTGAAATTCAATTTTAATATTCTTAAATTTATATTTTAAAGGCTCAATACCACTCTTGTTGTAACTGAATAATATGTCCCAATCTTTATTCTGGTCAACAATTTTGTACTATTTTAGAATATTTCAATTAATTGATGATACAAATTTCATCTTAACACACCTCAACATAATGGTTTGAAACGTCTAACATAAAACCTTTTCAAATGAAACTTCGATTTAAAAATATTTTCGAACCCTCTGGACAAGTAAAATAGGATGTAATGGATAATTTACACAACAGGTAGGACACTTAAACATCTAGTACTTAGATAGAGATATTATTTATTTTCTGGAGCTTTCAAGCCAGCAAGAGTGTTATTGGCCCTTTAATGGAAGCTTACTTTATTAACATAACATAAATAAGAGAAGCAAACAGTAATAAGCTCCAAAAGAATTCTTTGGGGGGGGGGGAACAAATCATGTTGAGTAAAAAAGGCCTTATCCAAACGAGGGCGTGGTACTTTAACATTTTCAAATGGCCCATAAGGTGTATGGAAATTACTTTCAAATCTAGAAATCGAAACTACAAGTATTTGGTGGATTAGTTTTAATGTTAATAAAAAGCTTTAAAAATCGACAATAATTTACAGTCTAGACCAATTCGTAAACCGTCACAATTATTGCCGTCTTTCACTTCAGTCCGGGCCGTCCCAAGCTGCGTTTATCCAAGTTATAAAAATATGAATCAAGTTTTATAAATTCCCGAAACACACACACAACTAACATATGATTGTATGTGATAATTCTCTGCAGTTTTGTTACCGAATATACTATAAAACTACGAAATTAAAGAGATTTGGTTATTTTTACTCTGTGATGTGTTGGAACTCCCGCAAACAGTGCCGGTGGTGCAAGTAAGTTATAAAAATAAATACAACTGACAAAAGGTTAAGGACCACCTTAAAGTAAAACAAGACAGGAATATTTGGTCATTTAAGTAATAGATATTTTTTAATTGAGGATTTCGAAAAATATAGGAGTCCATTAGATGATCTGGTCAGGAAAAGGATGAGGATTACAGACAAGAGTAGTGATAACCATCGTCATGTGTATCCCTCTCTCACTTGGAGAGAGAGAGAGAAATGGGGTTTAACGTCCACTCGACTAACATATGGTTCAATTTTATTTCCATAATTCGCTTGCGCGTAGGGATCTTTAGCTGTGGGAGGAAACCGGAGGACCCGGAGGAAACCCACGAGGTTGGACAGGCGACCCTACTCCTTGTCACGTACAACCGGGGATTCGAAACCACGCCAGTTGACTCAATGACAGACTTTATGATACAGCGCGCGCACGCTAACCATTCAGCCATCCAACCCCCCCCCCTCTCTCACTTGGATCACGTCCTCAACACCTCTTGTTTGATTAGTACCATGGTACCAAAGGAACCTGACACTATTCTTCTTGGAGTGGCAAGACTTATGCTGGAAGTATTTTGTGATGGATATTACATGGTTCCAAATAAAAACCATCTGAGTTTATTGTTGATGGTTAAATATCAAACAGACCTCATTTTAAACGGTGGTGCTTATCTTTTTGACACACATAATTTTTACCGTACTACTGCTCAAAAGCTTTTAATTTTGTTTTAAAATTCTGTTAATTCGTTGATAAATCACGTTATTCTATTCTCTAGTCATGGTAGTCAGTTAAACTTGAAACCTGTATGTTTAAGTTGTAACCACTGTAAAAAGGATGGCTGTAGAAGAATCATGTTCGTTCTGAATCTAAATGTAAAACCTATTCCCCCCCCCCCCTCCCCAGCCGCTGATCAACAGAAATGAGCAAAGTGAACCTGGGCACTAAACAATATTCAGAATACAAGTTATTTAGAAGTTTATTTTGTTTGTGGCTTGATAAATACAAGAGAACACTTTTCAAGACGTCATCAGAAATGAACTGTGAAAAAACTTGTATTTAATACACCGGTATATTAGTCATGGTTTATTCAATACAGTTACTAAATGCAGCTTTAACAAACTACATTTTTTAATGGTTTATTTACAGAGAAGAAATGGGAAACATTACCAGACTGCCAGACACGCCCCATTGATAACAAAGGTCTGCCTGCTGCCGCTGTACACAAAACACTCAACCCAGAACCAATCGATGCCACAAAATTGCCGCTAGCAGAAAAAATTCGACGACTTTCAATGTTTTTACGAAGTGAAAAAAAAGTAATCAATGAAATTATGGTGAGGTTTTATTTATTAAAGATACATTATGGGAGATGGAGATAAGATAACGAGTTAGCAGTTCTCACTATAATAGTTAAAAACTACATAATGTAAAGGGAATTTGCTAAAAATGTCAGTCAAATTGGTCCACTATGAACCGAAAACTAAGCGGATGAAAGTTTCGCCTAGCCTCGAAACTAATAGTCTCGATTGTCTATTGTTGTGATTTAATTATCAATGAGCGATAGCATCATATAGAATTGTAATCCAGTCGACATCGAAGGCTAGCCTTGACATCGGGAGTTTATTATGGTCTGGATAAGTTAATTAATGTCTAATTAATAATTTAGATAAGATTTCAGGCCTAAAGAAAGACCTGAAATTGACAGGTTTAGCTCTTGCATAATGCATGTTTAATATTTTTCACAATAATCTCATTAAAAACACAGATTCTGCTTTATTTTTATTTTTATTTTTATTCAAGCATGTATTACGTATAAAATTCTTTTATTTGCCCATCTACATAAGACCAGTTGGGCGAGTTTGGGTGGTCGAAGCGTTAATGCGTCATTACCCGCTTGTACGTGACAAGGAGTAGGGTCGTCTGTTCAACCTTGTGCGTTTTCTCCATGTCCTCAGGGTTTCCTTCCACTGCTAAAGACCCCTAATGAAATAAAATGAACTATATGTTAGTCCCGAAATGACCTAGTGTCGAGTGAACAATAAAGCCCATTTTCCTCTCTTTCCCATTAAATCCTATTTTATTTCATTTTAGTTGTTTGAGAATTCTCTGATGAGTTGTAAAGTTGGAATTAGACCAGATTTTTTGATGTGGTGTGTTCCTAGCCAGAGCTATCGGCATCAACAAGAAAGAAATCAAACTGTCATGTTTCAAGAAGGCGGTGGAACTTTATCGTACCCTTCCTGTCACTGAAATTTTGAACCAGGATGATATGACCCCAAAAGTTATCAAGGAGAAACTGGAGAATTTTAACTCGACCGTTGCTAAGATGGAGAAAGAAACAATTGCAGAGTTACCCCCACCATCTATTTTGAAACAGATCCAAGATATTCTAACCAATCCTAAATATGCTTCAACCAATTCAGTCAGCAAAATGGAGTTGGCGGCCTCTGTGGCTAAATGTCGAGTCCGTTGTCGATATGATGTAGAGAGTTGTAAAGCTGTATCAGGGAAAGTTTATCATAAGGGAATGTACTTTATTGACAACATACTACAAGGTGCAGGTGTTTCAGTTTCCAAAAAAACTGCTAAGTCATTGTGTTATAATATGGTGGTTGAACGACTGACCACCATGAATGTTGAACATGGCAACATCTTAGATGGTGTCGAACAGTCTGTCATAACAGAAGCAGAAGCACAGGTTCAGAGCACTTTGGTAAAGGCAGCACCAAATCCTAGGGCATTTGATCTCCGTGAACAGTTTGTCAAAATGAACGAACTTAGCAGTGCCACGCATCCTGCATCCATCATTACTGTCTTGGATGGAATTTTCAACGATGTAAAATTGACGCCCATTTGTCTGTACCGTCGTAGCATGAACACAGAAATAGAAAAGGAGAAAATTTTCTGTAACCTCTATCTAGCTGGTCATCTCATCATGATTGGTGAAGCAGAGAACCGAACAGATGCCCAAGCAGACGCTTACTCTAAAGCCCGATAAGTTTCACGAACTGTGACCCCGAGTTCATCCTCCCCCAACACAGTAAACTTCAACCACACGACCAAGCAGCAACAGATGTTATCGACTTTCGTGTCAAGGGCAACTGCATTTTGGAAGATAACTGTTCGAATCTTCATCGCTTACAATGGACCCGAAAACCTATATCAACACTACCAGCCAAGGATATCGTTGTCTTTGAGGACGTCAGTTGGATAGTAGATCGTAAAGTTCAAGGTTTCTATATTTTACAACATTCATGTTTTGTCAACAATATGTTGTTGGAATGGGAGTTTTTTTGACAATGATGATCGTGTATTCAGGTAAGTTGCCTTAAGGCCTAGTCTGGTCTCCCGGCCATAATCTTAAGGCCTAGTCTTGTGTCTTCCGGTCTCAACTGTAAGGCTTAGTCTTGTATCTTCTGGCCTCAACTGTAAGGCCTAGTCTTGTGTCTCTTAAGACCTAGTCTTGAATCTCTTAAGACCTACTGTAGTCTTGCGTCTTCCGGCCTTAACTGTAAGACCTAGGCTGTGTTTCCTGGCCTTAGCCTTCAAGCCAGAATTTCATATTTTCTATGAAAGTCAAAACATAATTATTTCTATGTCTTTTGCTCAATAGGTTATCAACTCACTATTATACGACTATGGGCATTATTTCCCACCCTTAAAAATCATTGACACAGGAAATAATAACACAATTACCTCCCTTGTTTTCCTATTGCCTCCATGCATTAGCTATCTTCAAATGTTGGAATTCGAAAATGATAATTTTGCCAATTTCGCAGCTGGCAATAGTGAATTATAGGATTAATAGGATTATTCTTTAACAAGGTAGGACTGTGTATGGATACCATCTATTTTAAGGCTTTATTTTAATAAATTTTAAAAATATAACTTAACAAATATGAAATTGTAGCTTTAAGATCTAGTCTTGTCCCATTGATCAAAATTTTGAAATGTTCAGTTTGCTTGTTACTCTTCTTTTGTTTTTAGGGGTGGTTGAGTGGTCCAAGCTCATAAGGTCTTTCATTGAGTCAAACCTCCTGGGTGTCAGTCCAAAAATGTTGGTTTGTTTTGTGTGAGTGTTAATCCCCATTTCTCTCTTTTTTTACTTTAAGATGTCAGATGAAGATACAAAAGGAAGATGTTGGAACCGAACCTGCAGTGTCTCTTAGTAAGACAGGCTCTAGAAATTTTGCAGCAGCTGATATCTTGTTTAAGCTCGAAGAAACACAACCAGTCATAGAGGTAAGTTATTCTATTGAATACTTGAATTAGCTTTAGGGCTATGGATTCCTGAGCTAAATAGGGCCTACATTATATAAAGATAGGTTGCCAGGCAACTAAACATACGCCCACAGCAGCTAAATCGTCCGAGCGGTCGACAAGAGTTGTCGTATATTTGTTCTTTTGTAGGTAATTAGGGGGCATTTAATAGACAACTTCATACAGATGACATTATAATTTTCGTCGTTTGAGGGTTCACAAGGTTCTAAAAACTAAAACAAGGGCTGTAACTCAGGAAGTAATCTACAGAAATTATTGAAATTCGACAGACTTTTTCGTTTTACTAATTCAAATAATACATATCAATTTCATACAGATCGGATGATAACTTTTGTCGTTCGAACGTTCACAAGATTCAACAAAGTAGAACAAGGGCCATAACTCTAGAAGTAATTGACAGAAATTGCTGACATTCAATAGGCTTCTTCATTTCACTAATTTAAATGATGCATATGAATTTCATACAGATTGGGTGATAACTTTTGTCGTTCAAGCGTTCACAAGATTCAACAATGTGAAACAAGGGCCATAACTCTAGATGTAATTAACGGAAATTTGCTGAAACTCAATAGGCTTGTTCGTTTTACTAATTTAAACGATACCTTTAAATTTCATACAGATCGGATAATAACTTTTGTCGTTAAAGCAACCACAAGGTACAACAAAGTGAAACAAGGGCCATAACTCATGGCGTAATTAAAGGAAATTGCTGAACTTCAATAGGATTCTTCGTTTCACTAATTTAAATCATGCATATCAATTTCAAACAGATCGGATGATAACTGTTGTCATTAGAGCGTTCACAAGATTCAACAAAGTGAAACAAGGGCCATAACTCTAGATGATTAACGGAAATTGCTGAAATTCAATAGGCTTCTTTGTTTTACTAATTTAAATGATGCATATAAATTTCATACAGATCGGTTGATAACTTTTGTCGTTTGAGCGTTCACAAGGTTCAATAACATGAAACAAGGGCCATAACTCTAGACGTAATAAACGGAAATTGCTGAAATTCAATAGGCTTCTTCGTTTCACTAATTTAAATAATGCATGTAAATTTCAGAAAGATCGGATGATAACTGTTGGAGTTAGAGCGTTCACAAGGTTCAATAAAGTGAAACAAGAGCCATAACTCTAGACGTAAAAAAACGGAAATCGCTGAAATTCAATAGGCTTCTTCGTTTCACTAATTTAAATAATGCATGTAAATTTCAGAAAGATCGGATGATAACTTTTGGAGTTAGAGCGTTCACAAGGTTCAATAAAGTGAAACAAGGGCCATAACTCTAGACGTAATAAACAGAAATTGTTGAAATTCAATAGGCTTCTTCGTTTCACTAACATAAATATTTCATATAAATTTCACAAAGATCGTATGTTAACTTTTGGCATTAGAGCGTTCACAAGGTTCAACAAAGTGAAACAAGGGCCATAACTCTAGACGTAATAAACAGAAGTTATTGAAATTAAATAGGCTTCTTCATCTCACTAATGAAAACAACATATATCAATTTTAAAACAATTGGATGATAACTTTTGGCGTTAGAGCGTTCACAAGAAATTGTGGACGATGGACGGACGGACCGACGGACGTACCGACAGACGGACGGACGGGGGCGACGGCAATATACGTCCACATTTCAGTGTGGGCGTATAAAAACCAATTTAGCCAAGCATTGCATTTCTACACCCTTTCACTGAAGCAACGTTCCTGTCCCTTGAGCAGGGTTATCCTGTGACAACACCAGAAGATTGATATATGGGTGGGCTGGTCTAGTGGTCTAATGCATGCCCTTTAGATCATAAGATATGTCCTTGAATCAATTTGAGCCAAGCTTGTATGTGACAAGAAGTAGAATCTCATGTCCAGTATCGTGCATTTTTTTCCCGTTCCGTCAACATGCTGCCAATGGCTATACAAGGGACCTTTTTTCTTGTCCAGTCCATCTTGCCCTTGCAACAAGACGAAAAAAGGCTGGAAAAACCTGAGGAACTTCATTGGCCAGATTAAAAACAGATTCTTATCAATGAGCCAGTGTCCTACACACCGAGTCAGAACCCACCGAGCCAGCGGTTTACCCACAGAGGTGGGTCTTTACCCACTGAGACATTGTCTTACCAACTGAGCTGGTGGCTTAACCCCTGAGCCGATGGCTTATCCACAGAGCTGGCACCTCATGTACTGAGCCACTTTGGTTTTCGTTCTGCTCTTGTATTGCACATAAAAATGCCTTCCTGGCTAGGCACAGATTTGACCTTTAATTGATGAATGCCATTATTTAAAGTTAACCTAGATATCATGTCTTAGTAAATCGTTTTTCATTCCAGGTTTCTGCTTACACTAAACCTGATCAAGCGATAGAATCTGTCAGTTTTGATACGTTGCTTAAAGAAGCGGAGGTGTTGAAGAAAGCTGCCGAGCATGCAGGAGAAAACGTTACAGCTACTACAGCTGAGGGAACTGATTCAGAAACTGAGACCAGTGACACAGATGTTGAAATGAAGGAAGAAGTAACAGATTCACAGGCTAAGAAGAAATATCCTAGAAAACCACATTACCGTCATGCTGATAGATTTATTTTAAAAGCTGCCCAGGCACGACTAGACGAATTCATAAAAGTTAAAATGCTAAAAGATCTACTGTTTGGACCTGCTTTCCCTCATCATATCACACGCCAGATTAACGGCTTACTGTATAACCTCCCCGTTCCAGTTCGCTTTATAAATCATTCCACTAGAAATCAGATGTACACCATTGTAACGCAAAGTATGTCACCGATCAAAATTGTCGCATTTCTCAAAGCCAACGGTGGACAGTCTGGTCGCTTTCGTTTAGTCGACAAATCAGAACTTCCGACACATAAGGACATTTTACCAGAACTTAAAAGTAGGGAAATTTTAACTAAGATCAAATCCAAATTTTAGTAGAAATTTCAATTTTGATTGGCTAAGCACTAAAACCAATCAAATTGTTGGCTTTTTTTTGCTAATAAATATAAGTGCTAGTCTAATGTCTTGTCTCAATTACATCTTCAACAGTATGGTTTTGTTTCTAATTTAAAATCCAAATATTTGTCTAAAGTCTTTACCAGTTGTGTGGTTGAGTGGTCTGATGTATGCTTTAGATCATAAGGTCTGTCATTGATTCAAGTGCCATGGTTTGTTTTGAAGGTACTTCCAACCTTATTTGTCTTATTTTCGCCAGTCATGTTTGGCCGTTTTGACTGACTTGCAGTGAAATTGACCAACTGGAGAATACTAGTAGATCATAAGGTCTGTCTAAAGTTTAGACAAATATTTGGATTTTAAACTAGATTTATAAGGGGCATTGGCGCCATTGGGTAAGATTAGATAAGAGCTGACAGTTCTCGCTATAATAGTTCAACAATAAATAATAGAAACAGAAAATGCTGAAATTTCAGTCAGATTGCTTTGCTCTGAACCGAGATATAGGTGATTCAGTTTTAGGCTACAGAGCCAATTTTCTGAAAGGTAACCTTTTCTGTGGTTCAAGTATCTGATGTGAGAATCTGGGCCCTGTTTCTCGAAATCTTAACAGTGGGAATGCAGTCGACCCTACTCTTGGAAACGAAGCTAAGCCTCTTCACTAAATGACAGACCTTATTATCCAACACGAATGCATTATCATTTGACTCCACCCCCTCCCCTGCAGTGACACATGAATGTTGTGACCAATAACCACTTTCCTGTCTTAAGGCCTTTGAAAACAGTATTCCTCATTATTAATTTGTCCCAACTAATCATGGTTCATGAATGCGTGTTCTCGATATGTTGACACTTCTACGATGGTGGGTGACTACGAGTCATGAGTGAAATAATCTTATTTCGTTAAATCTGTTATACTAATATAGAGAAAATACAATTTACATTTTATGGATATAACTTTTATGGATATAACTGTTACAACAAATAACACATCTACACAAATTTTTAAGTTGACCTCATTTCAATCAAAGTAAATACATGTATATTCGCGTTACGTTTGGTAGTGGAACCGTGACACTGACATATTGTACATCGTTGACTTCAGGGTTAGGCTTGTTGTCTACCAAAGTTAGGTTAACATCTTCCACTACACTGCAGTAACATCATCAAGCTAACCTTTGCTAAAAGGTTAATGTTAATAACATCCACCAATTAGTCTATACACTAAACACAAGACCTGCAGCATTCAATCTCTGTGATCTGTAAATAATTAATAAAAAAACATATGAACTTACTTCAAATTTACACACTATAACTTATTACATAAACTTTATGTAGATAAGGAAAGTGAATTTTGAGATGCACTCCAATGACAAGTAGTTGATTTACATAAAAATTTACAAAAATAAGAACTGTTAATGAAAATAATAAACTGATTTACCTCAAGATAGATAATTGGAAATATTTTCTATACTTTTCTTCTGAAAAATGAAAGGGCGTAGTTTTATTATAAAACAAGGAACATGTACTACAAAAACATATAATTATTAATGTACCCCCTCGCCAACACGTACATTTGGAATTCATTTAATATAGTTAACTAAAAAAAATGTTAAAATCACAATTAATTATGATACCACAATTACAGGCTGGTAAAATCAACACAAAGTTCATACATTAGATTATAATAACCAGAATCGACTTTAAACTGATGTCTCTCACATATCAATGCCATAACTCTTGCAGTAATCATCAGATCTCGCTGAAAATCAATAGGCGTCTTGTCTCATGACCTTAAACACTGTGTATAAATTTAAAGTCAATTGGATTTTAACTTTAGCCTCTAGAGTGTTCACAAGATTTTTCAAAGTGATAAAGGGCCATAACTCTGGTAGTAATTATCGGTTGCCAATTCAATACATATTTGTTTTCATTTTCCAACTCTTGTCTTACTCTTTTTGCAATGTAAAAATCACGAAAACGTTTTATTTCTCCCAAAGTGAAATTGCCATATGGCAAATCTATATAAAAGTCTTTGTCATTTTGTATAGACCCAATAATCTGATCCAAATCTTTAATTGGAGGCATGTATTTTGACTCTTCACATCTAGAGAATTTAATATTTGTTATGTTTCGTTTAATAATATAGCTTCTACATATAACAACAGTCAGAATTTTGTTAGGCAATGAGAGATTAATTCTACTAGTACTATTAGTATTTTGTAAAGCCATATTTGAGTACAATGTAACTTGCTCACCTGTTTTAATTTCCTTAGATTATACTGAATACCGTGGCGTACTGGAAAGGTCTTTGAAACCAATTTACGCTGAACAATCTAACACAGTACAGTAGTATAGTATTGTATGGTACCTTCTTCCACCAATCCAAGTGAAAAATCAAAACCACTATTGATGAACACTGAAATAGAAACATAATGTAACTACCCTAAATTCACATATTAGATAGTAAAAGCTTAATTGATTCTATTAGTTAAATATAATATTTGAAATTAGATCTATAATATATAATTATGATTTTAATAAATCTTAGCTGACAATAACGTGCGGATTTCATTCAGTTTTAAAATTGGTACTATAGGGCCTAGCCAGTATAGGGATTCTGAAGGGAAAATACCGCTTATGACTCATGACGTCACTCAAATATGACAGAAAAGCACTTATTTTGGTGCCATCCCACGCATTGACTGGTATATAGAGCGTTTTGATCATTTGAAACTTTGAGTTTGACCTGAAACCCTATTAATTAATAAATAGGTAATATTAATAAAACAATACTACTAGGCCTATTTATTAGTATTTAGAATATATATCATATGTAGGCCTACATACACTGTCATACAGTGCCTTTATTTACAAGTTACATCTGATTTATTAACTGATTCTCAGACTTATCCATTTGTGTGTATCTCATTGATCATTCTCAGGCTCAAGTTATACTCCTGACAAGTCCACGAGTCACGATACTGTGACCCCCTGTTGGTTGCTGTTGTACTTACTTGTAGTTAAACTGTCACTACTACAACTTAAGGGATATAAATAAAATGCTTGAAATGAAGTCGGACTAGGTAGATATCTAGGCCTAATTATAATGTAGACTTGTTTTCATATCGATTACCCGACGCCAAGACCACTTCTACTGTACTAGCACTAATTTCAATGTAGGCTACTTAGTTAGTAGTCTTACCCCAAAAGTTAGAAAAGACTTTGTCAGCAAAAAAAAATATTTACAATCGGTACATCTATGATTAAGATTTGATTTATGCAGTTTTAGTCAAATACTAGCCTACTATAAAGTAACAAACTTCATTTACATTACCAAGGTCAGAAAATCTCCTCAGAAAATAAAAGACAACTGTTTAGTGTTTGTAGCCCAATAAATATAAGAAGCTGACGCCGTTAAAAACAGTGTTAGCCTAAACATCAGAATATTGCGCCAAAAGCAAACCAGTTAAAAATATAATTTGCGGGTCACGGAAAGATAACTCTGTTTGGAAACATGGTTTGGTGTAGAGGAGTAACCGAAGTTGGCCGAGTGAAATCTGCAGCCGGTTGCCGAGTGAAAAATAGAAAGTAACTCATTGAAGATCCAGTATTGTGCAGTTCCAACACCTCCTATAGAATTCAACTCATTGTTAAAAATATAATTTGCGGGTCACGGAAAGATAACTCTGTTTGGAAACATGGTTTGGTGTAGAGGAGTAACCGAAGTTGGCCGAGTGAAATCTGCAGCCGGTTGCCGAGTGAAAAATAGAAAGTAACTCATTGAAGATCCAGTATTGTGCAGTTCCAACACCTCTTATAGAATTCAACTCATTGTTAAAAATATAATTTGCGGGTCACGGAAAGATAACTCTGTTTGGAAACATGGTTTGGTGTAGAGGAGTAACCGAAGTTGGCCGAGTGAAATCTGCAGCCGGTTGCCGAGTGAAAAATAGAAAGTAACTCATTGAAGATCCAGTATTGTGCTCATTGAAGATCCAGTATTGTGCCGCTTATGCCCCTATACTTAGTACTTCCTGTTTACATAGACCACAACTTTCAAGATGGCGGCGCGTTGTGACGTTACTGATGATGCGCACTTGGCTTTGTGGCCTATCTAGTCTTTATAGGATATCTATATGGTTTTTACTCGATATTAGTGTCTTGTACATGACGTCATTTCCTATACACCGCCATATTTGTTTTGCGTTTATAAACATTGAATGTGTGTCATAAAATTGTTGTATGTATAAAAGCATAGGACTAGAATACTAACCTAGTTCTATGGAGTAAGTTATTTGCTCAAGTACAGAGTTGGTAAACACAAATGTTTTTTCTTTCTGTTTTCTATTTCTTCATTTTATTACCCATTAGGCCTACTGAAATGTCTCCAACTTCAACTTGAACTAGCAGTAGCACTACTGTGTGAACCATGGTAAATTATAAACGGATTTCTTCGATTGTGAACAAACTACTGAATAATTGTTATTAAAAACTTGCCTATGTGTTTGAAATCACCTCCGGTTGAATAAAATCCATTGCACAATTAAATATCCAAACCAAAACCAAAAGTTATCTCTTGAAAAGTCAATGTTTTTGCTTGTATTTTCGACAGTGTCCATCACAACATTACACATGTCACGTCATGAGCTAAACCATCATAATATGTTGAAGGGGGTAAAGATTGAATCATGTGTGTTGTAATCACAACAGCGCACGACCGCTTCGATTTTTTGAGTTTGGGCAACACAATAGCAACTGAGACAAAGACATTGATTTGGAAACAATTGATTGTCAGTCTACTAAATTTTATTCACAATGAATATATCACCAATTATACGAATACTCGTAAATATAATATTGTAATCACAACAGCGCACGACCGTTTCGATTTTTTGAGTTTGGGCAACACAATAGCAACTGAGACAAAGACATTGATTTGGAAACAATTGATTGTCAGTCTACTAAATTTTATTCACAATGAATATATCACCAATTATACGAATACTCGTAAATATAATATTGTTTTTCACCTCTGTATATATAATTGTATATTGGATACATTGCCTTGTGAATTTCAAAACAAAGCTGGGAATTTACAAAATAATTGTGTTACTGATCACGTACGATTATAAATTTTTCTAAATAGTTTTTTGCACACCGGAAATAATATTCAGAGCGAAATAGAAAGAAACTGAACTATCTGCCGATAATTAATCCGGTGTGCGGTATGATTAATTGTTGGTAATAATTTTTGGTATTTATTTAAAAAAAAATAACGTTATAGGCCTATACCTATTCAATGATTCAATGGCCTCGGCTATTAATGTTGTCTAGGCAAATGTAAAATACATCGGCATTTACCTCGGCTACTGCAGATTGCTGAGGTTAATTGACAGGACTGCTTAAGTTCATCAGGAAATATTAAAAATATTCAAGGGTGAAATAATTCAAGGTCAGTAAAACAAATATAGTTCAAAAGAAATAATCCCACCAAACTCTCTAACCAAATAATGTTAATACAAGAGGGGAAACAAAATACCGGACGACGGGCGTATTTATGTTTTTAAACGCCCAAACTCATTACTGGGTTCCGAGAGGAATAGCTTATTCATACACAACCGTTATGACAGACAAGCCTTGCTTTGACCCCCCGATACGAAATGATATATCCCGATAAGTGACGTAATTAGCTTCCATTTTTGTTATTTCTCGGTGTCAAAGTTTGTGATGAGTTCAATTTTACAAGAGAGAACTTTTTTATTCGCCAGGACATATAGTTGTACAATGGATTTTATATAACCGGGGGTAATTTCAATCACCCAGGTAAGTTTATAATAACCAAAGTATAGTAGTTTGTTCATGATCAAAGAAATCCGTTTATTATTTACCACGGTTCACACAGTAGAGTAGATGTAGATAACAAATCTCATCTCTCAACCCTCCGTGTTTCGAGATAAGAGTTGGTGCTATTAACTTCAACGTAGCACATGCAGGAGCGATTCACAGCCGGCATTTGTAAACAAAATTGACCATATTTGTAATCAATACAACGATTGATTATTGTTATTTATAATATTTTTGCCACCCCCAACTACAATTAAGCATATAATCCAACCTGAAACGGGTACAAATCGTCGTTTTTAAAAAACGAGGCGTTAAGCCGTTACTAAGACCGCCATGAAGGCGGGGCTAAATATAAGACTTTTAATCAAAAGGGCAATCTAAAGCATTGTAACTATGAATGGATTTCGATGGCGGTGAATGTCAGACAAAAACAACGCTTCATTAATTTAAACGCGAATATTTGGAGTTAGGCGATAGTTGTGCCACTACATTGGCCTCTGTAAGTTTAATCATAATAGCATAAACTTATCTTATTTTAAAGATGTTACATGCATTAATAAAGAAATTGAGTTTGCCACTTGGAACTAAAGGCATCCAATCGTAGCTAAAAACAAACACATCAGTATATCTCAACTTTTTTGGCTACGTTCTCGTAGCTAGAGTAGATGTAGAGCAAAGTGAACTGAAAGGGGACTGAGCTGGTCCGTTGGCATTCGGGCCTATAAACATTATGATAACACGAACAAGGGCATTGATTTTTTAGGCTACTGTCTTCCTCTAAATCTTTCTAGTAACTTATAACAATTCAGTGTGTGTGTGTGAAATAGCTTTATTTATAATTTAACGTCCGCTTCCACCGAAGTGATTAGTGTTGAAAATCTGATCAATATTAGTGATCCGAATACTTTTGTTTGCTATCCGAATACTATTCGGATAATTCGGAAACGTGAAATTCTTGAACAAAATCACATCAAAAGTTCATATACTCATAATTTCTTACTTATTTCAATGTTTATGAGTATCTGTGTATGCCGAGTATGAAATCTTGGCAATTGTTTGAGCCGCGAAGAAAAAAAAGTGCCTACCTTTAGCCGCAATTATTAAGACTATCCTTGATATCCAAAAAAATCAATGAGGTGAATAAATTTGTGTATAACTACTCCTGTAATCCGCAGCCCTCCCACTTATCATTTTTGCTCAATCAACACGAATGAAAATAGTAAAATAAAAACATCCGACATTTATTCCGCCAAGGTCGTTTGCCTCATTCTGATAATCTACTGCTATTGAACCAATCAGTAAGTGAGATTATACGTGACCTAGGTCGTTATGAATAAATTTCATTGCGGTAAGTCTAAACACAGTGTAAACTTGTATCCAGTAAACCCAAGAAATAGCTTCTATCTAGCGTAAACCAGCGCAGGGAATGGATGAATATTTTTTTATTTAGACTACTGTTTTCGTTGCACTGCATTAATATTTTTATTAGTTACTATCGCTAAATAATACGCATGATATTAACATTTATGCTCAAAGCTGCGTACGTGATCAATAGCATTGGGGAAAATTTCAAAGTAATCAGATGTAAAAATGGCTAAATATAGAGCATACGGAATGTCAGAAGACTGTAACGGATAGTAAAATGATTCGGATAACCCCTATTTTGTATCCATTAACGGATATCCGAATAGTAGTTTCAACACTAGAAGTGATATCGCGGACTGAAGTAGACATGGTATTTGTACTGGACATGTTTTAGTAAGGTAGGCCTACAATCTTGATCCCAGAGGTAACTTTACCCTTTGTTTATATAAGAATATACCCGTCATATGACCCTGTAATGGGGCAACGTGTTTGCCATGCGTTGCGACCCGTGTCGGTGGAGAGTGGAATCCTGGTAATTGAGTGGGGATTTGGCTTGCGAGTCCTTTCTCTGCAACACATTACTTTGGCCCATGGTTCACCTACAAGGGAGGTCAGAGTGCCCCACTCTGATCAATTGGCTTTGTTCGTTTCAGCTCTGTAGAATGTACCGGTGTCCTTTTCCAATTATATAATATAATGCTCTATTGTTTATTCACTCAGCAATTACCTACCTTTTGTCCATAGTACATTCTATAGAGTGGCTTGGGTTTATCGGGTCAGAGTAGTAATTTTTACTTTCTGGCCCTGAGGCCATGCGCTGGATATATGTGCTAGACCTCCCCCTAATAGGCAGGGCAGAAACCTGGGGGTTGATGATGGATGAATTTAAAGAAATTACGTTCATGGATACCCCAATGCCCCCCACCCCAATCAATGAACGACCAAAAAAGAAACGTCCTAATTCGGAGGATGTTTCTAACATTTAAAAATAATATGGCAAAGTCATGGCCGATGTTTCTCTTGATTGAGAGCCCCTCTAGTACGGTACTGACTTATCCCAAGTCTCACCATTTGTGATAGCTAAGGGCATTGCCGGCTTGGCCGGTGAGTCCAAAGCCATTAAAAAATTGAAAAATGGAACACTCTTGATAGTATGTACAAAGGAGCAGCATGTTACCATGCTTCTCAAATCAACAACTTTGGCAGACATTCCTATCAAGATGTCTCCACACAGATCATGAAATGGTTGAATAATTTTCTTATCATGGCGTCTAACAAGTTAAAAGAATTAGTGTACGCCGAGGAGATCAGGTGATTCCTACAAGCACCTATATCCTCACTTTTAATCGTCCTGACATACCGAAATCATTCAAGGCAGGTTATTTAAATATACCTGTTGATTCTTATATTTCCAACCCCCATAGCTGCTATAATATAAATGTCAGAAATTTGGACACAGTAAGACACCTGCGCTCGTTGTGGTCATGATGGCCACGAGTGGGCTGCCTGCCAGGCTGAGTTTTGCTGCGGTAATTGCAAAGGTAAGCATTTTGCTTATTCTCGCGAATGTCCAATACAGTATTCAACAGGTAATGTCTGAACGGAAAATTCCATATTTTGATGCTAGGAAGCAAGTAGAACTTACTTCACTCATTCCCATTGCACCACAAGGGAAATCTCTTTCGAGTGTAGTTAAAGTTTCTACAAAATCCATATCAGTTCAGACAGACATAACCTGGCCATTTATATTTATAAACAGAAAAAAACAATACAAAAATCCAAAATGGCAAGGGGGCTCCTCCCTTGCGCTCCTCTAAAGCTGATTCCAGTTCCACTGGGTCAGGGGTGCAGTTTAAGAGTACTCCATCCGCAAAGGAGAAAATAGTGCATTCCAAAGAACATCAACATTTTTTAAAATTTCAAGAGAAAGATTCAAAGGGTTAAAAAAAAACATCACTCTCTTTTAATAAATATGGGGATAATCTGATGGACGATATTACTGTAGTGGATGTCCATGTGGACCTACTCAGTAAGCCGCGAAAAATTTCTCTGACAATGCTCAATTCCATTATTCAATGGAATTGTTATGGTTTAAAACCAAATTTTAATGAAGTCCAACTTTTAATTCAAAAGTAGAATACTTTAGCTATTTGTTTGAGGAATTCTGACACTTTGTCTTTTAGACATTTTGTTGGTTACCATCATCACTCAGTTGGTGATGGTAGAGCTCATGGGGGTGAGGTGTTTCTATTGTTCTTAATGGAGATATCCCTCAGAGTCGAGTCTGCGTCAACTTGCCGTTACAGGCAATTGCAGTACGGGTGACCTTGCATATTCCTATAACACTCTCCTCTGTATATCTTCCACCAAGTTTATAAAATCCCAGAGATCTTGATGACCTTGTTGCACAACTTACTCTACAGGAGATTTCAATGGTCATCATTCACTCTGGGATAGCCCAGATGGTAACAACAGGTAAACAAATGGCAGACTTCATTAAGCTTCTTTTTCTTCCCTCGATCTCACCATTTGCTCTCCAGTCCTGTTTCAGGATTTTACATGGATTGGAGGGTCAATGAAGATCTGTGTGGTAGTGACCACTTTCCTATCTTGATTGATAATAATGGTCCCTCTCCGGTCAAAAGACCCCAGAGGTGGAAGTTGCATAAGGCTGATTGGGTTCTTTTCGAATCTTTGTGTCTCTTCCCTTTTGATACAAAGGAGATTGCAAAAACCACGGCTGCACCCAAACGTTTCAATAAATCATGGTATAACGAAGAATGCAAATCTGCTCTTGAAGAGCGTGACCGTATGCTCAGACGACTAAAGAACCACCCTTCCATGGAGAATATTGCGGCATACCAAATGGTCTGTGCGAAGGCTGATAGAACCATACGTCAAATAAAGAAATCTTCATGGCAAGGTTACGTCTCAAGGATCAATTCCCGTACTACATCTAAGTTGGTATGGGACAGGATTCGTAGGATTAAAGCCAAAGGTAAAAGTAGCGCATTATCAGTTAACCATCTAAATTTTTATAATACCACCCTAACATTTCCTGATATTCCTAATTCACTGGCCAGTATATTTTCATTTTAATTTATCTTCCAATTTCTCCTTGATCCGATGCCTTTCGAGGCATTAAATCACAACAGGAGAAAAGACGTCTTAATTTCAAGTCCCACAATGATGAATGGTATAAAATGATACCTTTTCCAGAGCTTCGGGAATCGCTAAAGCGAGCTCGAGATACTGCACCTGGTCCAGATGAAATACACTACCAAATTTTAAAACATTTACCCCTTTCCACTCTCTTAATTTTATTGGATCTTTTTAACCGGATTTGGGTTGATGGGAATTTTCCCCCTTCGTGGCATGAAGCCACAATAATTCCCATCCCTAAACCGGGTAAAGTTCATACGAATTCTACCAGCTATCGTCAGATTGCTTTAACTAGCGGTATTTGCAAAACCATGGAGAGATTGATCAATCGAAGGCTTGTTTGGTACACTTGAGTCCAACATCCTCAATGTGGATTTCGGTCCCAAAGGTGCACTCTTGATAATTTCGTTCGATTTGAAACATTCATCAGGGACGCTTTCATCCAGAAGCAA